GATATAAGCACTGGTGTTGACGTGGCCACCCCTCAGTGCTCCTCGGAGCGTGCGACGGGACAGACGGGACAGAGCGGTGCTGTGCGGAGCCCCCGCACAGACAACTCGTTCCTTGCCGACCCGAAGCGTTTTTAAAGCATTTTCTTTAGCGCGAGTGTCCTCGAGGCCAGACCGTGGGATTGGTGACCCAAAACTCTTGTGAGGTGTCTCCAGTCCCTGCGGCAGGTGCCCTCGAGGCCGTGCTCTGGGGCTTCGTGCCCCGGAGCTTTTCGCTGGCGTCTCCATTCCCTGCAGCAGGTGCCCTCGAGGCCCGACTGTAGGATGGCTGGGAGACGCTTCAGCCTGGCCAGGCTGCTCAGGAGAAAACCAAAGAAGGCAGGCCCTGGGCCTGCCCCAGCAGAGCAGCCTGAAGAGATGGAGCAGTCCCAGCCCTTGCAGGAAGGTGAGTGGCAAAGCTGGGTCACAGGGCTGGTGGCTGCAGCCAAATGGGCCTCTTCCCATCCCATTCCATCCCCTGTGGACATGGCCAGGGATAGGGAAGGGGGAAGAGGGCCCGTGGTTGATCCCCCGGCAGCTCCATGCACTGGGCATCCCGGGGCTGGCCCTGCCTGTGGAGTGCAGGGCTGGGCTGTGTTCTCCGGGCTGTCCTGCAGCCCCTCAGCTCTGACTGTGCTCACTCTTTGCCAGATCCAGGCCAGGACCGGACACAACAGCAGGGCCGTGCCTTTGGCCGCTTCCGCAGGGCAATACAGGTACCTGCAGTGTGTCACAGGGCCCTTTGTGACACAGTGGGCATCACCAATGGGATGGACTGGGGCAGGGTGCCACAGGGCTCTTTGTGACATGTGATGCCATTGCCTCCTGGGTTGGGTCTGCTGTCCCTGCTCAGCCTGGCACTGCTGACAGAGCTCTCCATGGCACATCCCTCTCTTCCCTGCCCTTTATTTCTTCTGAAGGCCTTTCTGACATCCTGGAGGCGTAGAGGGGCCAGGATCACACCAGCTGTGGTCGTGGCACAGCCAGACCCCACGCCAAGTGAGCTCAAACCAGAGCCTGATGTCGGCATCGTGTCGACTGATGGCAGAGCCAATGGTGACAGCGCGGTGACCGATGAGGTGACAAACTCCAGCACCGCGCTGCCTGAGCTCACCACAGAGGCTGAGGGTGCAACGGCTGAGGACAACGCAGACACTGACAGCATACCCACTGAGTGCCTGTCTGATGCTGCCAGTGTCGAGGATCTCTGGGAGGAAGTTGTCTCTGCTGAGGTAAGCAGCCTGTGGGCAGGCATTGTGTGAACCCTCCAGTCAGGTTTGCTGGGCCCTGTCAGCCTTTGAAAGCAGCACAGTGTGGGGGGAAAGGAAAGAGTTCTCAGGGAGCAGTGGGCAAGTTGCTCACTCTGGCCACTCTTCCACGTGCCCCCTCCAGGTTAGAGAGTAAGACTTGGTGACCCAGAGCTTTTCAAAGACATCTCAGTTCCTGTGGCAGGTGCTCTCGAGGCCAGACCATGGGAATTGATGGGCTGCACAGCTCCCAAGTCTTCTGTTGCAGGAACCTTCAAGACACAACTACAAGAGCTGGTGACACAGAGCTTTTTTGTGCCATGTCTCCTGCAGGCAGCCATTACACCAGCCAGAGATATGGAGCAGAGACCCCCCCGTGTGCCCAAGCTGGCCTGGGTAGAGGAGGAGGAGCAGGAAATCCCTGGGCCTGCCCCAGCAGAGCAGCCTGAAGAGATGGAGCAGTCCCAGCCCCTGCCAGAGGGTGAGTGGCAGAGCTGGGCCACAGGGCTAGTGGCTGCAGCCAGATGGGCCTTCTCCCATCCCATCCCATCCTCTGTGGACATGGCCAGGGATAGGGAAGGGGGAAGAGGGCCCATGGCTGATCCCCTGGCAGCTCCATGCACTGGGCATCCCGGGGCTGGCCCTGCCTGTGGAGTGCAGGGCTGGGCTGTGTTCTCCGGGCTGTCCCGCAGCCCCTCAGCTCTGACTGTGCTCTCTCTTTGCCAGATCCAGGCCAGGACAGCGTTGCAGACACCCCCAGCAGGCCTGCTCAGAGTGAGAATTATACTCCCACTGGGGATGTTTCTGAGGAGAATGGTGTCTCCAGTCCAGAGCAAGTAAGCAGCCTGTAGCCAGGGCTCAAGCCACCCTAGGCTTGTGTGGCCCCTCAAGCCAGCTCTCTGGGCCCACTCAGCCTTTGAGGCCAGCACTGTGTGGTGGGAAGGGAAACACTTGTTGGGGAAGCTGGACAAGTTGGCAGCTCTTCCCCCATGCCTCCTGCAGGTGCCAGCCTTCGTGAGGAACATGCAGCAGGCACTGACAGGCAGCAGCAGTCCAGAAGAGGAGCTGCTCACGCAGTTTCTGAGGGTGACCAAGGCATACCCTGCTGATGTTGTGGTCACCCTCCTGCGCTGTGCCCCATCCTGTGACAGGTACAGGACCCCCTGCCTTCGGGCTCAGGGCTCACCAGTCTTTAGAGCCCCTCACCCCATCC